GGCATTGCTGGTATTTCAGAACTGACAAAGACTGGAATGAATCATGGTTTCCTTGGCATTAAGGGGGCAGTAAGTGGAGGCATACTGAGATAGAATCATATGATTGGATCTTTCTGGTTTCAGAGACTTGGTCCTCCCAGATGGAAACCGGGTCAGCGCCTTCTCTGTTGCTAGTACAGCCATTGCTGCTGCTCAGTGGTCATCCACCCAGGTAGTGACCTCTCCTGTGGTACTTGCAATACAAGGTCAAGGTCATTTTTAGGGAATACTTCATAGCTTCTATCCTTGATATCCACTAAGTTTGTCTTTGTTTCTTTTTGATATTTTACAGTCTCAAAGTGGTGAAGGAGGCAATGTTGACTATAGTTACCTGCAGCCAGGACAAGATGGCTATGCCCAGTATACACAGGTATGTAGATTTGACCAGCATCCAGTTTCTAGTCTAGTATGCCTAAGAATAGCAGCTTTAATGGTGGACTTTTCTTCAGTACTCACAGGATTACCAGCAGTTTTATCAACAACAAGCTGGAGGATTGGAATCTGATGCATCATCTGCATCAGGTAGTAAATGTCATCTCCCTTTTACCTTTAGTTCGAGCAACTATAGCTGAAGAAATATTTCTAACGACCTACAGCTACCCGTCCATTTCCCTGCAAGAAAGTAGGATTATATTCAGGGTTGTCACCATGTGGTTAAGGTTCTGGGAAAGATTAGGGTTGTTTATATACCTGAAAAACTAATACAACCTCTTAGAGACCATGTTGTATTGAGTTTTATTCTTGAAATTCAATTCTGTATTTCTCCTATCTGTTGTTAGAAGTTGAGGTGTCCACATAAATTCAAGTGAGCAGAGAAGGTATGTGGCTCTAGAGTGTGCTTTACTTTTGCTGCAGAATTATAAAAGCCTTATAGTGAAATCAAATTTTCTCAACCCCAGAGCAGATTTGTTGCTCTTGGTTTAGTCATGGTACAAAATCCTTAACTTTGTCACATTATAGTAGGATTATAAGAAAATGAAAATATCATAGGTTCCAGTGATTCTTAGTGGAAATTAGGTTGTGAAAAACTGACATACAGAAAGACAGACATCTAGATTGGGTATTACACATAAAGATGTTTAGCTTGGAGTTCAATGCTTTTTCTCTACCCTAACCTGTGTGTTTATCATCAGGCACAGCAGTGACCACCACCTCAGCAGCTGTAGTGTCCCAGAGTCCCCAGCTGTATAACCAAACCTCCAATCCACCTGGCTCTCCGGTAATGCTCTTGTCCTAAATACAGAACTGGTGGCTGTTGGGGAAACTTTGTTTTGCTGTGCAAGTATTACCCTTTCCTGCTGATTGAGTCAGGATTGAGTAATATACATTACACCCTTATTTCTCTGTGTCTGAACAGTACTAGATAATCTAACAATTTTATTATATGTATGTGCATATATTTTAAATATAAAATTTCAAAACAGTATTTATACTTTCTGTGTGCTTCAACTTGACCCTTAGAAAGAAACCTCGGCTCGGCGCC